TTCATTAATCTTAATTATGCAAATTTTCATGACCATTGATCAACAACCACTGACCAAAACCCACTGATCAAAGGCCATGAGTACCATTCACAGAGAGTTGGGGAATGGCTGCCTTTTACCCACTATGAAGTGGTTTGATTACATTAGACTTGCTGTACTTCCCTTTATGCAGCTGTGTTGCATATTCTTACTTCTGTATTTCAGTCTCAGTGTTATAAAAAAAGGTTGTCAGTGTGTGTGGCTGGCAGCAAGAGAGAGCTGCAGCTAACAGTATGTGAACAACCAACCATTAATAAAGAGATGCTGCAAAGCATGAACGTGCACCCAGGTCTGCTGTGGGTTTGTTACAGTGTTTTTATGCCCACTTTCACACATACACCATTTTACTTCCTCCGCTGCACTTCCACATTAGTTTCCTATTTATGACTCACCCGAGTGAAGTTGCCTCCCCACCTTCTTCAAATCAAACAAAATTGATGTCAAACGTTTGTGCAGCAAAAATGTCATTTGTGCTGCTTTGTTTTTAAGATGTTAATAAAGGTTTCTAGAGGTCTTCCAAGGTCAACCAGCCCCTTTCTTTACCGTGAAAAGGTTGTGAAACATAAACCAGAATTTGGATATTTTTTTATCATAATCACACTCTTTAACCCTTTGAAACATGAAATAACTGCCAGAAATCTTTCATTTTTTGATAATAGAGTGTTTGTTGAAGCTTTAGACAAAATCTATGAGAATATATCAAATTTTAATCTATATATATAGATAGAGATATAGATAGAGATAGATATTTATTTGTATCACATTTGCTACATAAGCCATATTTTTGCAATTTAGTCATTAAAAATGTGTGATGTAATTTAAATCATTTGTTGAGGGCAAAAAAAGTCACACTGATGATGTAGAAGTCTCAAAAACTCACACAAAAAAACACGCTGGGCTTTAAAGGGTTAAAAGTAAAAAACTAGGTTAACTTATAATAGTTAAACTAAACTATGCATTCTGTCGGAGAAACATTATTTGCAAAATACAAAACTATCAGAATAATGTGGGCAAACTGGATACAGTTTGAGGCTCGATACCTGTCGAGCCTCTCAAGTTTAATACAATAACTCCAAAATAATAGCTAGTTTATCATAAACCAGCACAAACATAGCACAGTTGACTGACAAAAATTTTGTTAATGTGGGGCGGCGGCTGGTTGACCTTTTGACCTTTAATCTTTCATTAATATCTTTAAAACAAAAGCAGCACAAACATTTGACATCAATTTTGTTTGATTTGAAGAAGGTGGGGGCGCAACTTCACTCACATTACTTACTTAAAGGATGTATGACTATTGAGTGTAATAAACTGTTACATTTTAACAAGGAGTCATCAGTGAGTGCTCTTATTATCTGAAGCCATCTTCTGCAACATTTCTCCAGCTTCTTTATCCCACCTTTTCTTCTGCTGTAAATCTGACCTTTAGACTGAATGCCTCATATGGTTCACATTCAGAAAACAGACACATTACAACACACTGACATTAACATTTTAAAGAGAACAATACAGTTGTTGCCTGCAGCAAGGTCAAGTGTACAGAAAACTGACTGACTGATGCTTGGGTATAAAACGATCCAGATTCTGATCCAGCCCTGTGTGCAACAGTGCATTGGAGATGAACCTGCCTGAACCTGCCTGGGTATCATCGACTTGCTGAGATTTTATCAGTATGCAACAGAGCTGTGGGGCGAGCCTTTTGAAGGTTGACTGTGTGTAAGAGTGGGTGCGGTTTACTGTGACGACAACAACAAACCTATTTAAGCACAGCTGACCACACGGTGACTCTCCATGGTGTCATTCTGTATGCTCAGTGTGGTTTTTTTTTAAATTTTTTATCAACGCACACATTTGATAAATGCATGGTTACAGCTGTCCTCTTATCAGACACTATGTGTGTCTGTTAAAGCAACAGAGTGCAAGTATATGAGTTGTGTAGAAATCTTCTGTAAACTGTAGGTACAGCAAATGTCTATTTTCTCTAACAACAAACTGAGGTGTGTAAAACTGGTTTGGTGGGCAAATTTCAGTTGAAAAGGCGTTCCCAGAGCCTCTGGAAATGTTGAAACCTTTCATTGGTAAAGTAAACAGGGGGCGGAGAAAACAAAGGTGTGGCTCCCTTACAGGGAAAAGTAAGTCATAAGTTCATTCCTTGTCTATTCTTTACAGCGAAATTCCTAAAGCGCCAGCGAGAACTTGTCAGTGGAATTACATCGTCTTTTTTTCTCCCGTTATCTGGAGAAGAAAAAGACAGCTGAATGACAAGATGAAACAAAGGTCTGTACGCTACTTAAGTGCTATTTTCTCTTATCATGTGCATAATCTCAATGGCTTTTCTCTCCTCTTAGGCAGGAAATGGCAGATGATCAGAGGAGAAGTTGGTTTAGGATATCCAGGACTCACTATTTCGCCATTATTCTGGTAATTGGGGGTGTGTTCTTTATTTACAGCATAAGGGAAATGACCCCAGACTGGAACCCCAAAAAGTGGATGGAAAATCGGACGTCAGACTTGTGGATTATTTTAGAACGGCAGAGGCAAAAAATAATCTCTCTCCACTCTGAAATTAATGACAGCTCATCAACACATCCTCCAACTAATAATATGACATCGGCACCAGAAGTGAAGACAGAAACTGCAGCGGTCGCTCCTTATGTTTCTCCTGGACCATATTTAGTCGAATACCCTTATGAGTACCCCTTCATCATAAATGAGCCACAAAAGTGTGAGCGGGAAAAACCTTTTGTGGTTCTGATGGTTCCCGTAGCACCAAACAATAGGCGAGACCGTGACATCATCCGCAGCACCTGGGGGAACGACAGGGTTGTGCAGGGCAAAGTGGTGACGCTCTTCTTTTTACTGGGGCTACAGACGGGGCCGGGAGCAGAGCAGGTCCAACGGCAGATGCTTCAGGAGAGCAACAAGCATCACGACCTGATCCAGAGCAACTTTGTGGACTGCTACAAGAATCTCACCATTAAGACCATGGTAATGCTGGAGTGGCTGACTGCACACTGCTCCGGTGCTTCTTATGCCATGAAGATTGACTCAGACATGTTTCTGAATGTGCACAATCTTGTCAATATGCTCTTGAATGCTCAAAAAACCAACTACATGACTGGACTTGTGACGCGATGGGGTACAGTACTGAGAGATCCAAGCTCTAAGTGGTACGTACCACCTGACCTTTATGCACCAACTTTTTACCCTGCCTATGCTCTGGGCCTGGGCTACATTATGTCTTTAGACCTCCCTAAAAAGCTCACTGAGGCATCCAGACATGTTAAAGCACTTTACATTGAGGATGTGTATTTAGGGATGTTAATGTACCACCTGGGCATCTCTCCCACTTTCCCCCCAAGCGGTGATTACTTCCATGTTTTTCCTTTGGCATATAACCGATGTCACTTCTCCCGTATA